CATACACTCTCTCTCTCTCTCTCTCTCTCTCTCTCACACACACACACACACACACACATATACACACACACTTGTAAATCTAGTACAGGAGGCTAAGACAGAAGATTCTTGAGTTGGTAACTACTTTGGGTTACATTTTTAAGATCCTCTCTAAAAAATACATCCCAAAGAAATCATACCAAACCAAATTATATTAAAAAACTGATTACCATCTTCATGTAAACATTTTATTAAATATTTCTATATGATAAATGTTCTTTAAAAATTTTTTCCTCCTCTCTTCCCCCTTTTCTCTTACACTCTAAGCTAGTTGGGGGTTGCTGAATTATTATGTCGGTTACTCTAATATGTTCCCTGCTAAATGGAGGGATCATAATTCTGGAAGACTTGTCTTCCAATAGTATTTTTTCCTGTGGTTGAGATGAGAATTTAATACAGTTTGTCCTCAACCTGAAGGCCTACTCCCATTAGTTCTTTCTTAGTATTATCCATACTTACCTAGAAGGCCTGTGACCATGTATTTTGGCATTTTCCTCCAAACCTTTGTATCTATAGAGTAATATACACACAGGGGTGGTAGACATAGACTTACCTGTGACTCCAAGGGGAATTCACCACATGGAAGTAGTGGCGAGAAACATTGCTTTCATAGTCAATTCAGAAGTCAAATCTTGACTCTGTCACTAACTACCCATGTAGCTGAGTTACTTAAACTATCTGAGCCTTAGTGTCTTCATATATTAAATGGGGATGCTAATAATTCCTTCATGAAATTTTGGCGAGAAATTAAAATAATAATAGATTTTGAATTATTACAACTTTAATCAAGGTTTCATTATTTTATTTATAAAAATTTGAGTTTCAGGTTTCTATGATAAACTTTGTATGTTCTAGAGACATCTGTGTTTTTCTAAGAAAATACATTTATATTGCTCATGTGAACTGTCCGCAGAAAAATAATGAATACTTAATGCATTATAATATTGACAGCCCAACTGTCCATTTTACCAGCCTATAGTACCTAAGCTTAAATATTATATCATTAAATTCCTTTTGGCTATGATATATTTTCCCTACAAACATCAAGACACAGACCACATTTCATGTCCTTTTTTGTACTCTGTGTCCCTCCAAGCAATAAAATTTTGCCCTTATTCAGTTTCCCAAATGTGTTCAGATTTTCTCTGAAACTCAAAATCATTTAAAAGCATAATTTTCTCATTATTTAAAATGTTTCCCTTTGTGTAAACCAAGTGAAGTTTTAAAGAAAGATTGCTGCTTTCCCCCCCATGATATCTACATGACAGATGTAAAGCAGATGTCAAAGGTCATGTCATTAGCTGGGTGCTAGCGGCTTATACCTACAATCTTAGCTCTCAGTAAGCTAAGATCCAAGGATCATGATTAGAAGTGAGCCTGGGGTAAGAAAGTCCCTGAAACCCTTATCTTCAATTAAACACACACACACACACACACACACACACAGACACACACACACACACAGAAGTACAGCTGTGGCTCAAAGTGGTAGAACACCCAAGCAATAAAGGTCAGAGACAGGGCCCAAATTCTGACTTCAAACCCCACAACTGACAAAAAAAAAAAAACCAAATCAAACAAATGAACAAACAAAAAGTCATAGCCTCAGAGAAGAAAGGTTGCTCCCTGGCCAGACACACAGCACACATTCTACAGGTGTGTCCAGGACACATCTTGGATTGAAAGAAGAGTTCTCCATGATCATTGTCGGATATATAACAAATGTTCCTGATAAGATGTCCATAAGATTATTTGACCCTGACGCTGTTGATTGAGAGCAAATGTTCTGTTCTTGTGGTCCATGACTGTCTTAGAAAAGATCTGCTCTGTCTTCCATCTACTCTCTGTCCCCTTTGAAGTATCTTAAATGTCTTAAAATTCTGCTTATGCCACTTTCTGTTTAATAATTTAGTTCAAGAAAGCGATAAATTAGTTAATACTCCCCCACAAATCCTGAGGTCTTGTAATCTGTGATTGCTTTTCACTTGATATCCTCAGTGCTCTTCTCTATCTTTTGGGAAACATCTCATTCTATAGAGGAACCTAAGGGTGACAAATGCCACAAAACATGTGGGAGGGACAGTCTAAATGAGGATTACTCTTTAGGAAGAGAGCATTATGATATATGTAAAGAAAGAATGCAAAGAATCTATGCTTTACCTTGCTCAACTTGGAAGAAATACACAGACAAACTGAAGCTTCACTAATCTGGTCCAACAGTGAGGATGCATCATGAACAAGAAAAGTGCATAGGCATTGAGTGCTGCTCTTAATCATGAGCTTAGGGCAAATACACCAGCCCCAAAAGAAGCTTCATATAAGTTCCAACTGAACCCAACTTCCACCAAAGTTATCTTGAGGTATAGCAATATTTTTTTTTATCTGATGAGAAAGGCATGAAGTAGTCACTTTTCTTAAAATTACCGCTTTCATCCAGAAAGTGGCCAGGGTCAACATCTCTGGGTTGGGGAATTCCTTTGGGTCATGTAACACAGATGTCAGTGAGGTCAATATAGTTGTGCCCTGTCAACAATACACATAGATAACTAAGCAAATTATATGGATAGATAGATCTATATCTATATATACTTAGATCTATACAGATCTATACATATATATCTAGATCTATATAGACCTATACATATACATACACACACACACACACATATATATACGTATATATACACATATATATTTTTATATATATACATATTTATGTGTATATATATGTATATATACATATATACATATATATACATATGTATACGTATGTATACGTGTATATATATATATACGTATACATATATAGATATGTGTGTGTGTGTGTGTGTGTGTGTGTGTAGTATATAAAGCCATGTGCCAGAGGCTCACACCTATAATTATAGCTACCCAGGAGGCTGAGATCTGAGGACTGCATTTCAAAGCCAGCACAGGCAAGAAAGTCTTTGAGAGTGTCGCCAATTAACCACCAGAAAACCAGCATGGTGCTGTGGCTCCAAGGGGTAGAGCACTAGCTTTAAGCTAAAAATGTCAGGGACAGTGCCTAACCTTGAGTTCAAGGCCTATGACCAACAAAATAGTTATACAGAGGTAACAGATACCATAAAAATCACTTAGTTCAATTTTTTGGTCCACAGGTCATGAAGACTTCCAACAAATGAACTGGCTTCAGAACCAATAAATATCAACACAGAAAATATGGATAAAAGGCAAGTATCTCCAAAGTTTAACAGTTCTATAGCAATAGACAAAAAGGATATTGAAGAAGATTAAAGCTCAAAGAACTCAAAAGCATGATTACAAGAAAAATTATTTCAATAAAATAAAAAGAACAGATATAAAATAAGTGAATTTGAAGAGGATATAAATACACTGCTAAATGAAATAAAACAAACAATGCAATATATCAATAAGAAGTTCAATAAAGATACAGAAACATTAAAAATTAAACTGAAATTTTGGAAATGTAAAGCTATATAAATCAAATAAAAAAACTCAATAGAAAAGAGTGGACCAAATAGTAAATATATTAGAATGGTCAAATGAAGAACTGGGAAATTTGAAAAATCCAACCTATATAATATAGGCATAGAGGAATGGGAAGAAGTCAATACTAAAGGAATAGGAAATATATTCAATAATATAATAGGAGAATATTTCCTAAATCTTTAGCAATCCAAGTGCAGGAGACCTTTAGGGCAGCAAACAGATCATATCAGAAAAGAATCACTCCATGACACATTATAGTCAAACATTAAACATTCAGAAGAAATTAAAGAGTACTGAAAACCAACAAGTCTTCCATGGTGGCAAGCCCATCAATATAACACCAGATTTCTCAACAGCAGAAACATTAAAAGCAAGGAGGATAGGTAGTCAACAACTACCCATCTATGAGGATTTGTTGTTGGGGGATTTAATTTTTTGAGTTCCAGGTAAATTTTAGATATGAGACCCCTGTCCGTTGTATGGCTGGTGAAGATCTTCTCCCAATCTGTGGGCTTTCTATTGATCTTGCTAGCTATGTCCTTTGCCATGCAGAAACTCTGAAATTTCATGCAGTCCCATTTGTCCAACCTTTCTTTGATTTGTTGTGTTTCTGGGTCTCTATTCAGAAAATTTCGGCCTGTGCCAAGGAAACCTAGGGCTTCTCCTATTCCATTCTGTAATGTTTTCAGAGTGTCTGCTTTGACTCCGAGGTCTTTGATCCATTTAGAGTTGATTCTGGTGCAGGGTGATATATAAGGATTGAGCTTTAGTTTTCTACAAGTGATTAATTTTTCCAGCACCATTCTATTTTTTTTAGCTCCCTTATTGAAGATTAGATGGCTATAGGTCTATGGGTTCATTTCTGGATTTTCAATTCTATTCCATTGGTCCTGAGGTCTATTCTTGTGGCCAGTACCAAGCTGTTTTGATTACTATGGCTTTGTAGTAGAGTTTGAAATTTGGTATTGATATTCTTCCAGCACTGTTCTTTCTGTTAAGGATTATTTTTGCTATTCGAGGTCTTTTATTGTTCCATATGAATTTTTGGATTGCCTCTTCTATTTCCTTGAAGAATGAGCTTGGAATATTGAATTTGTAGACAGCCTTGGGAAGTATTGCCATTTTCACGATGTTGATCCTTCCAATTCAGGAGCATGGGAGGTTTTTCCACTTTCTAAGTTCTGTTTTGATTTCCTTTTTCAAGTTTTTAAACTTTTCATCATAGATGTCCTTCACGTCTTTGGTTAAGTTAATTCTTAGGTATTTTATTTTTTGTGGGGCTATTATGAATGGAGTTGCTTTCCTGATTTCAGCCACGCTTTTCTCATTGTTGGCATACAGAAAAGACATTTGATTTTATACCCTGCTACTCTGCCATCCAGAATACAGTACCTTACCCTTCTTCCCTCCATTCCTGTGCCCCCATTTGTCCCTACTCCAATGTTTCCATTTCCTGGTATTTTTTTTTTTATAAAAATATGGAACACTTCACAAATATGACTGTCACCCCTGCACAGGGGTCATGCTAATTTTCTCTGTATTGTTCCCATTTTACCATATGTGCTGTCTAAGCCAGCACCATACTAAAAATTTTAAACATATAAAAAGAAGAATCCCAGGCATTCATACATAGTGAGACCACTTTTAGGAAAGGAACACAAAGGCTTAATGTCTATGTGCATCTGAGCATACAAAGTAATATGTTTATTGGAATGAACTGCAGGAAATGTAAACAAGAGTTTTTGTTTTTTGCTGCTTTTGTTTTCTTTACTTTTGGTTCTGTTTGTTCATTTATCTTTCTCTGGGAATGTAAGGAGGAGCAGAAATGGAGGGACACAGGATGAACAAATGCAACAGTGGAACTCACTAGACACTGTGTTGAAAATGAACTACAACTTGTGGGTGGGGATGAAAGGGAAAAACTGAGAGAGCCATGGAAGGAGTGGCATTATCTAAGAAGAAATGTACTCTATCTGACATGTAACTGTAACCCCTCTGCACATCACTTTTATAATAAAAAAATAAAAAGAAGAAGAATCATTACAGAGAATAGATCTGACTCAAAATATAATCATATTCATGTTCAAAATTCATACATAAATAACAGTACAGAGTAAATTTCCCTAATGTTATTTTTTAAAAAGCTTCCAAAATCTACTTAAGATACCAAACTTTACTGTGAAATATCAAGCTTAAAATCATTCCTGACAATCATAAATGAAATAAAGATCACCACCAATTTTGTTTTATACCATGCTGGCTGCAGTGCAAAATTTCAACAAAGCAAAATTATAGAATAGGAAAGAAGAGGAAAAGCAAGCATAAATTATTAACCCAGATGTTATGGTAATACACCCTAAAATTCCAAACATGTCTACAGTTATTATGAGGTAATCAGCATGATTAAAGCAATTACATTTCTATATATCAGGTACAAATGATAGGAAAGGCACCATAAAAATAATAACAATCAATCCAAGAACTGGTGGCTCATGTCTGTAATACTAGCTACTCAGGAGGCTGAGATCTGAGGATCATGGTTCAAAGCCAGTTCAGACAGGAAAGTCCATGAATCTCTTATCTCCAGTTAACCACCAGAAAACTGGAAATGGCACTGTAGCACATACTGGTAGATCACTAGCTTTGAGGAAGTGAGCTCATAGACAGGGGATAGGCCCTGAGTTCAAGCCACAAGGCCAACATAAAAATAAAATAATAACAGTCAAAACACTGCATATTTAGAGAAAACCTATGAATATATTTGTGATTGGCACTATTGAAAATAAAATATTACTTGGAAAATAAAGTAAAGAATAGGCAAATTGGAAACATGACTCATTCATGTATTGAAGAAATCAAGGTAACATTTTCCCCAAAACTTATCTAGACCTTTATTGTAGGCATAAGAAACATCCCAGCAGAACATTTTGAGAAATTGATTAAAAAAATAAGCTTGTGCATTCATTTGGAAATTTTAAAAAAGTATAGAAACAGAAGAAGAGGGAGGAGGAGGAGGAAGAAGAGGAGGAGCAAGAGGAGGAGGAGGAGGAGGAAGAAGAAGAAGAGGTGGAGGTGAAGGTGGGAGAAAGAAAAAGATGAAGAAACGAAGAAGACCCCCAAACAAAAAGAATTTAAGGGTAGAACAAAATTGGAAAGTTCACAGTGCCAGATACCATGGATATTATTGCATGGATATACAACCCCAAACTTACTATAATGCAAACTCTCCTGAGCAGCCAACTGTGAGACTTTTGCAGCTCTCTCATGTGATGTGCAGGAGAATCCCACAGTGAACTCAGGAATTCAGGCTCCCTACTGAGGCTCAGCAGAGAAGGAACAAGCTCACCTTGGGAATGATGTAGTCTCTGAATTTAACATCACGGGTCATTGCATGGGGCCGGTTGTTGGGTATGAGGACAATGTATCTCTGGATCTCATGAAGCATAGCATCTGTGTAGGACATGTGGCTCCTGTCCTACATGCAGGGGACAGAAATAGAATGTAGGAGTCTGGAGGAAGATGGCAGAGGAGAAGCTGGGGGTAAACAAGCTTTTGTGTAGAAACCAGTTTTAGTGTTCCAGTGGAAAATTGAAGGCTACATCATTCCCAAAGTACGCAACTTTTGTCTATGCTGTACCTCAGTGCTCTTCATGTTCCCAGATCCATAGAATAATCTCAATTCTCTGCAAACAGAAGAAGAGTAAATATAAAACTCTTACATGTTTCAGCTTAATAGATTTTGCAGCTGCTTCCAGTTTGGGGTTGTTAAAACTTGGACACAGGTCTCATGTCTGGCAGGATATGTCTTCTGATTTTGTTCTACATCTTTGAAATTGTTTGGCTATTCATAGGTGTTAATGATACATGTTCAGTTTGTTAATCTTGTAAAGACTGCCAAGGGAATTTTTTTGCATGGATATCAATAGATTGATGTGAAACTGTGGAAAGGAGCAATGGTGAGTAGCTAGGATAACAGGAAGGAGCCATCAGTGCCAGATATTTAGCTTCTTTTGAACACTTTACTGTACCTGCTAGGGTGTCCAGAACAGTGCTGGAAAGACTGGTGGTCGTGGGAATTCTTCTTTCCCACAAGGGAAGTCGAGAGGCTTTACTACCTCACTCCCAAAATGATACCTTCAATAGATTTTGTAAATATCCTTAATCAGATAGGGAACTTTTTACTCTTCTATGACTTTGATCATAAAAATGTGTACAATTTTATCAAGTTTATTCTCTGCATCTATTTCCTTACTTAAAGCACATATCAAACTTTTATTATTGCATTTGGATTAGTGTAATCCAAATCTGGTCTTTGTAAGCAGGAAAGAGTCCTTTCTTTATTTCCTTTCAGTATACCAAGATTAACAGAGAATCCAGCCAACGGTCATGTGAAATGCTCCTCAGAGAGGCTTTGTGCCACTGTTGTCAATAAATTAGATTCCAGATAAGATTTTTTTTAATGAAAACTACATGTTCTATGCATGTGACACTCGATCACATAGGTGAAGTTGAGACAAAAATGACACTTCAGTTATTGTTTATCGTACTACTCTCCTCAATAAGTAGATATCTGCTAGCTCTTTCCATCATAGAGACTGGGCTTTTATGTGTACTTAAAACCAATGGTATGAGACTTTAATACCACATTAAATAATAATTTTAAACAACTCTCCATGTCCAAATGAAGACAAACTGCATAGCAATGTTATAGATCAGTTATATAGTTCTTTGGTTTTGTGTTTACCCTCCAGAAGATCACATTGCTAAACAAATCAAATATCCATTGATAAGAAGTGAGGTGAGCAGATACTACAGACATTCAAATACAATCTTCCCTTAAAAAACACAATCCAGAAGACCATAGGAACATGGTGGTGATACAGCTGGGCTATATGTGAGCTCTCTCCAAGAAACCAGCTTTTGCAGTTCAAGAAATAATTCACTTTGGGAAAAATCACACCAAGTGAGCCATAATAGTACAGAGATTCTGCCCAGTGAGAAAAAATTCAGGCAGTTTGCACTAGAAGACAGACTTGAGCACAAGCAGTTGCTATGGCAGCTGGCGGCTGCCAGCGGCTGCCATGGGACTGGACAGACAAACCTGGAGCAAATGCGCTGGGGACTGAGAACCACATTTCTTCACTCACCTCCACTGTGGAATGGACAACCAGGAGCAGAATTCCACATCGTGCTAATCACTGGTGCAGATCAGGACTGGTTGAAAACCCAAGGAAAACCCTGAGTGTCCCTACTCCTTCCCATGGAACAGCTCAGGGAAGGCAGCCTCCTCTCCACCACCGGAGAATGATGCCATATTGGATACTGGCAGAGACTCTGCCATAATAGCTAGCAGATTACTAGGGACACAAAAGCAGCAGGCAACACCATTTTTCTTCAGGGCAAGGAATTGGACCTGTGAGAGTCGGCTCCGCGCAGGGGGAGGTTGCCCCACCCAGAAGAGAGGAAGTCCTCACCCCCCAGAGCAGATCAACCTTCACTATCTGGTGAAGGTAAGTGATTGGGGGGGGGGGGTGGAAACAGCCACGACTCCCTGCAGGCAGCTAAGAAATTCTACCATACCTAAGCCTAACTGGCAGCTTATCCGACTGCAAGAATCTCACTAAAATTCATTAAAAATAAAAAAACTGGACAGGCTACAAAAGCCGAGAGAGGGTATAGTTTAGTGGCCCAAAGGGGGCTCCCCAATTTGGAAAAAGTCACTGACTCCAGACAGGCCAAAACCCCAACCACGCACAAGCTCAGTCCCAGCAGCAAGAAAGTCTCCAGCCACCTCTTCTCCGCAGCACAAAGTAAAAAAAAAAAAAAAAAAGCAGTTCATGCTTTTTAGTCTGGGAAGAAGGTCGCAAAGTCCCCAACCCTGTAAAACAGAACATTTTTCTGCGCACCCAAACAAGCTGATTTGAGAATCCAATCAAACAACCGGGAAAACTGACCATTACAAGCAAATAAAGATGCCATCAAGTGACTGGAATCCAGACTTAGGGGAGACAGAAGAGCCTCCAAATAAGTAGAAGATACTTTTTTCTCTTTTTCCTTTTTCCCCAATTATATTTTTTTTCATTTTTTTAACTTCTTTAAAAAATTTTTTGCTCGTTCTCTTTAATTTTTGTAACTAGTTCAACTCTCTGTTACCTTTTTACCTGTCAGCTTATGTGTTTTTGTTTTTAGTTTTGTTTTCTTGTTTTTCCTTTTCACAACAAACCTGTTGAGTTTTTTCCTTCCTCATTGCTGTTCTGTTCACAACTGGATTACAGCCTATGGTAACCATTTGGCTTCCTCCATAACGGTGTATAGACTTAATTCAGAGTATAAATTGATTACCCAGTTCTCTACTGCACAATTAGTACTCTTAATTTTAGTATTATTATTTCATATGTACATAATTGTTTTAAATTTTTATTTTTATATGTATTTTTCTTTCCTTTTTGTTTTTGTTTGGGGTATTTTTTGTTTTTGTTTTTGTTCTTTTTTGTTGTTTGGTTTTTTTCTTATTTTGTTGTTTTAATTTTTGTTCTCTTTCTTACTTAGAAGTTAGTCATAACTTTCCTCCCTCTGTTC